TCTAGCCAACTGAATTAGGATTTCCAAGTCTGTGGGTCTGGACCTTGAGCTGCTCAGATACTGACCTGCCATTTTTTTTGTAACCACAATCGAGCTAAAATCAATCCTACTTCTTTCCCCATAAAAAAAATGACCACCAAGAAAGATCCTGATGCTGCATTGAAGGAGCATTCTGTGTTTTCTACACTAGAACATAGAGCGAAGGTAAAGAGATTAGAGAGTATTTAAATACCTATTTCAAAATATGAAGGACGTCTCACACTATGAAAGTAATGCAGCCTTGCAGGAAACTCATTTGTTTGCCCTGGTGTCTGTCTTTGTGAGGTTGGGTTGTGTACATGTTCTGGACAAACTCATCTTCCTACCACTATGTCCTATGTCTTGCCTAAGCATTACACATTTGGAAATAGCTAATGTAACACATTCTACTCTTTTCCAATGAACTCTGAATTTCTGGTTTTAAACTTGACTTGGGTAGAAGGGAGCAATATTTTTCTGGGTTGTTGAAGACTCCAACATCTCTCTTTCAGGAGTATTGATTTATCAGAAGCTCCACAAGGGATATGACTCCTGCATGATTTTTAGGGTAAGAGATTCGGGACACTTCATCAGTACTTCTCAACTTTCTTAATCTTGTCTTAAAGGCAAAGGAAAGTGGAATATTAAGAAAACTGTCTTTATCAGGGCTGTCCAATAGAACTGTCTGCAAAGATGGAAATGCCCCATTCTGTGTTGTCCAATATGGTAGCCATTAGCCTAGCTACTCAAGTGGCCACTGAACACTTGACATGCGACTAGTGCAAAAGGGAACTAAACTTTTAATTTAATTATACTTAATTTAAATAGCTATATATGGCCAGTGGCTGCCTTATTGGACAATGCAAGTCTTGATAATTGAGGTCAAAAAATTCTGTGAAGTCTGAATTCAGTCAGAAGGCTATATTTACAAGGATTATTTTTATCTGAGTCAGCAATGTGTTGTCCACATGGAGAACTAACACTTCCGTTTACTCTTGTGACTAACATGAAGCAAAACTGAATGAAAAGTGAGTGTCCACCATTACCAAGTTTCCACCAGTGCTGGCCTGGAGCTGGAGCGAAGGCTTCCATCCAGTGGCCTGGCTTCAAGTCTGTGCTGGCCCTTTAAGAACACAGTGCTATCTTTCCCCTTCTATAAAATGGGAGCATTTGGAACTTGGCACAGAGATATTCACAAATTATGATTAAATTAAGTATATTGGGCTTGTCGAAAATATAGTATAGTTTTTTACTGTATTGAAAAATGACCTAGGTCAAAGAGAATCCTGTCCAACTCGGTTTCCGCTTCCTCATTTGTAACGCACTGGCGTTTTCATCTCGAATGCTTTGTGCTGCGATGAATACACGATTTCCTATTACGTAGGTCTCTGTCTTATTAACAGATGGTTGGCTTTTCTAGTTCCCAGATCCCTATGACACATTGTAGGAAGATTTTTCCTTACGTGTAAATGTGAACAGAGCAACTTAGCAAATAAGGAGCTAGGGTGGTGGCCTTTGAACCCCAGTTTCCCTCCAGTGAGGGTCCCCAGGGAGTGTTCTTTTTGGTGGCACACTCAGCGGCAAAGAACCACATGCTTGGTATCTCCATGGCGTGATGCAATTTCTCTCTTTCCTTCGTGGCCCTCGCCCATAGAGAGTAGGAGCATATACGACACCCACAGTAGCTTTGGAATTACTATGAGGAATACGCACCCCAGTCCTTCTCCAGGGGACATCTGACCTTGCTACTAAGGCCTCTCTAATGGGCAGGCAGACCTCGGGGGCTTTGGCTATGCAAGCCTTCAGGTTGACATCACTGTGAAGATCAGTTCTGTGTCCATCACTTACTCGGCGGCGTCCACTTCTGAGTTGAATTGTTTAAAACCAAGATAGGCAGAAGCCACAGGAAAAAATGACCAAGTTCTCTGAGGTCTAACTACATAATGGTTTGGGGAGAATGAACCATCACGGTCCTGCTTCTCACTCACACTTGCCCTCCACAAAGGATAGAATACACATCAGCCCTCAGACCCCAGGGAATGCCTGTAGTCTTTAATAATCTCATCTTGATTACACACAGTCCATTATTCAATCTGGAGCTCATGCATTTTCAGAAACATCTCTTCAGATTGAAGTCTTCTACCTTTGTTGTTTTCAAATTGATCTAGAATAAGGTGAGGAAGTGTGTGTGGAAATCAATGATCTGACTATGAAAATTTAGTTCACTCCTGTTGCATCCTCTTAAGCCTCTAAGCATGGGTTCTTAATGTTTTACATGTTTTGTTTTAATTGAGTGTATCAGGGTGCCATTGGTCCACATGATCATATAGGTATCAGGTGTGGGTTTCTATGTTACAAGATCTGTATATGGCACAGTTTAAATGTTTTTAACGTTTGTTGTATGCTCATCGAGGGCAGACACTCTACCAGTTTGTCTTTGAGACCGAAGTACCTGGAACATATTCATGTGCCGGGTGCTGGGATACACCAACTGAGACCAAGCTGATTCCACAGGCTGGGACTTTCAAAGGGGAAGTATGCCTTTCAGAATCCCACTGTGACAGACGTTGCAGGCAAGGAGCAAGCATAGAGACTTAGCCAATTGTTGCAAGTACAAAGAGTTCTGTGAAAAGGGAAGTACAGGGCACTTCAGGAGAGTAGAGTATGGGTTCCTAACCTAGTCTCGGAGGTCAAAGGCTTCCCTGGGGAAGTGACATTTAGCCTGAACCCTGAGTGATAAGCAGGAGTAAGCATGAAAGAGAGCAGACCTTTGGAAAGCCTTTGCTGAATGGGTGAATGAATGACACGGCTACTCTCCCCTGGGCCTCCCCCACAGCACTGCTAAATTAAGTATCCCAGCTTAGTCATTCTAACCATAGTCCCTCCTCCAGGCATTATCTGTGGGTCCAGGCATTACCTGTGGGTCATTTTCTTAACCTCCCTCTTCTTTGCTAAGGCAAGTAAAGTGTAATAAAGAATACTGTGCCTGGCTGGTGTGGCTCAGTGGTTGAGCATCGGCCGATGAACCAGGAGGTCATGGTTCGAGTCCCAGTCAGAGCACATGCCCGAGTTTTGGGCTCAATCCCCAGTAGGGGCCGCGCAGGAGGCAGCTGATCAGTGATTCACCCTCATCATTGATGTTTCCATCTAGCTCTCCCTCTCCCTCTCCCTTCATCTCTGAAATCAATTCTATATATATACATATATAAATATTTTAAAAAATATTATGAGAATACAATTACCTTTGGAGACATTGTCAGACTAGTATTTTACTGAATGCATACATATGGATCAGTTAGTATGTTTCTGATAATGCAATGCATCCAGAAATTTCAAGGGCAAGAAGATTCTGGAAGGCATACTTCCACCTTTGAAAGTCCCAGCCAATGGAATCAGCTTGGTCTCAGCTCGGTAGCTCCTCGCCGGCTCAGTAAGGCAGCTCCTTGGCAAACAGAGCTCTGGAAGCTGCAGCCATTGGCGTTGGAACTGGCCGTCTCGCCCTAACCAAGGACCTGGGTGTCCCCAGGCTTCGGTTTCCTCAACTGCAGAACAGGGAGATTCTGCCCATGATAATTTACCCCGAAGCGATGTTGTAATAAAGATGGCCCTATCATCATTTTGTAAGATCAAAAACCAAAAACGCCTACTGAATCGGCGTGCTGTCGATGGCTGGTGTTTGCTAGCATTTCAGAGAAAGCTCTCTGATCTAAGGCTTTAGAGAGGTGAAGAGCTGGGATTGGCTTTCAAGTTCTTTTCTGGAATTACTGTGCCCTTTACTTCGTTATGACTTTAAAACCACTCTGGCAGGAGATAGCGGTAACGTCAATAATAGTATAATAGTAATAAAAAAAATATTTATTATTTACCAGTGAGCCAGGCACTGTCCTGAACACTTAATGCAGTGGTTCTCAACCTTCCTAATGCCGCGACCCTTTAATACATTTCCTCATGTTGTGGTGACCCCCAACCATAAAACTATTTTGGTTGCTACTTCATAACTGTAATTTTGCTACTGTTATGAATCATAATATAAATATCTGATATGCAGGATGTATTTTCATTGTTACAAATTGAACATAATTAAAGCATAGTGATTAATCACAAAAACAATATGTAATTATATATGTGTTTTCTGATGGTCTTAGGCGACCCCTGTGAAAGGGTCGTTCGACCCCCAAAGGGGTCGCCACCCACAGGTTGAGAACCGCCGACTTAATGCATTGAGCACCGCATTCCAACCACGGCCTAGGGAGCATCTATTATTAGACACACTTTGCCAACGAGAGGAACTGAGGCAGAGAAAACTCCAGTGAATTGCCTGAAGTTATGCAGCGGGCAGGGTCTGTCTGATCCCAAGGACTTTCCTCGCCGCATATGTGAAAGATTTCGAGCCTTTCAGAATAAGAGCTCGGGGTTGCTAAGTGACTCAACATATACAATTAATTATTCCTGCCCTGAAATACAAGAGTGTTAACATTAGCAGAAGTTTATTTTTGCAATTCCTTTGGCCTTCTGGAGTTCCCGCATGCCTCCACCCCTTCTCCTCACTGTGCTGCTCTCCTGTTGTTGAAAGGGAAATCAAATCTGTTCTCTAACTTGCTCAAATAGAAAGCGAGTTGCCTCTACACGAGTGAAGGGCGCAGGGAAGGCCTGAAGGGTTGAGGTGTCAATCACGTTCGGTGAGAACAGGCTCTGGGAGAGAGGGGAACGCCAGGACCCACGCTATGTTTTATGACCAAGATCTTAAACCATGTTTAAGGGTCTCTTTATTACCGCCCCTCTTCCTGCCCCACCTCACGTCGCTGGATGCTATAGAGAGAAAACATTTTTTACCTTCTTGAAATGGAAACAATGGGCTTTTGGCTGCACGACTTTTATTTCCCCGCTGGGGACTCTGAGAGATGACCTGATTGGATTCCACTCATAAAGGTCACGCTTTGAATTCAAGGCAGAGGAAAAAGTGAAGAAAACATTTCGCAGCGATGCCCCCTGGGTCCGGAGCTCGCTGGGCCTCCCCCTCTCCCCCCTTTGCGCTGCGGCCTGCTGATAAGGATAACGGGGATGACAAGCAGAACATTTCCAGGACAAAGGAAATTCCCGGTTTCATTGTCAAAAGGAAGCCACTGTCCACTCAGGAGAGCAGCTTCAGGCATCGTACACCCGTTCCCTGTTCCCTGCGGCAGGAGGGAGAGACGGTCAGGCTGGGGGTGCGGGGGGAGCGCGGAGCTGCCAGCTGCTTGCGGCACATCTGTCCCTAATTTCATCTGGGGCGCACCGGCCTGGCTGCAAGTTAAGAAGGGGTCGTTGCCGTTAATGGCATTTGTTAAGGGGTTCGGAGCCAGACGGTGAGGGATGGAGGGTGCACGCCTGCTTTGCACAATGTGGCCCATTGAGCCGCCTCAGAAAAAGCACCAGGAGGTTTAGAGAAGTTGATCTGGTTTTGAGTTTAAATTCTGGACTCCTTCTCTCCCCACCCCCCTCCCCAGCCCCCAGTGTCAGAGAAGGGCCTGGTTTCCCTTTATGGAGCGCAAAATAAACAGATCTTCCGCAGCGGGCCCGAGGGGCCCAGCCCCCAGCCCCCCATGCCAGGCCTGGGGGTGGGGGCCACGGGAGCGGCCATTCTTCTCTGTCTGGTTAGGATTTGGCATTGACTTTCATTTTCTCCAGCTCTGTTTTCTAGAAGCTGCCTGTAGGGGAAGTGCAGGAAGAAAGGAGAAGGCCATCTGGGGGCTTTTCTTGGCAGACTTCAAAGGAGGTGGACTTTTGATTTTTGCTAGTTTGGGGAGACACCGGCCACAGTAAGACGGCTTTGGGGAACGGAACCCAGAGACGAGGTCTTTAGCTGTTGGCTGGCCGAGGGCACGGCTCTCCTGATGAGAGCAGCTCTCACTCGAGCCGGGAGCTCCCCGAGCCGGGCACGCCGGGGTCACTGTGGTTCTCCTGGCCACAGGGCCCTGCATTCCTCGGGCTTTGCTTGGTTTGAGTGGGTGTGACCACGCATCGGCGCTGGAGAAAACGGAGACAAAGAGTCTAAATTGGGCAGGATCTCGAATCGAATGACTTGTTTACAGATCCTGTCCTTTCTCCAGCTCCAGGAGGAGGAAGAGGAAAGGGCAGGCCGGGCACGGCGGGCATGCACGGCGTTGTTTTTCATTCTAAGGAGGTAGGATGTTTCAGAGAGCAGCCGGCCATCTGCCTGGCAGCCAGTGGGCACGCTGGGTAATTTTCCAAGGTGGGAGGAAGCGCGCTGGCCTTGGCCTCTGCCTGCTGGCCTGGCTTCCGGGGAACGCACTGCGCTGGGAGCATGCCCGACGCAGCCACATGAGAAACCCCGTTCCTCCCGCTGCAGCTTGGAGTGATGGGGAGGTTGCTCTGCACCCTGCTCCCCAAGCCAGTGTGTCCAGCCGACAGGGTGCAGCTGTGGTGCGGCCAAGGGGCGGTTCGGGCCCTGCATACGGAGAGGAGGCTCAAGGCCCTCTCTAGTAGTACAGCAGACCCATAAAGGCTTTGCTATAAAGCGGCATTTATTTAGTGATTGCTCAGTGTAAGAACAGCCCCCCCCCCCCCAAAAAAAAAAAGAGTCCTGCAAATTTGATGACTTGCTCTCCCAGATTCTGGCAGTTCTCAGAGGTTCTGCTTCCCACACACCCAGGGCCCTAGGTTTTGCCCTGAAGGGCAGTGTTGGACTGCAGGGGAGGGTGGGAGGAGCCGCATCCAGGTGTGCACTGGGCACTATATAAGCATCCCCTTTAATTCCCACACCAGCCCACGAGGTATATATTGCAATTACTATTTTATGATGAAAAGACTGAGGTCCAGAGAGGTTCAGTAATTCACTCAAGGCCACACAGCTGCTGAACTTGTCAAGGCTACAACTCCTCTGCACCCGGGATGCACAGGGATGCAAGGTGAGGCAGTGACTCAGTGTGTCTGAGCTCCTCAGGCGGAAGGGGGTGCCCCCAGAGGAAGGCGGTCCCCTCTCCTGGGCTGTTTCAGTTGGGTGTGGCTGAGCCAGAGTTGCGCTTCAAGAGAATTGAGTAGAGAAGCCCAAACCACAATGCATTGCAGGGCATTGTACTGCAGAAGTCCTCCAGGTGTTCCCTAGGGACAGGCAAGGTGGCGCTGGGGATGGTGGAGATGGGGACGGGGTGCTCCTGGGAGCCTTCGAACTCTTCTGGCAGTGAAACCTCATCGTTAATGGCATCCTCAGAAACCTCTATGTTTGGAAAGGGATTCATCTGAAAGACAGCATCAGCTATACCAGTGGTCGGCAAACTCATTAGTCAACAGAGCCAAATATCAACAGTACAACGATTGAAATTTCTTTTGAGAGCCAAATTTTTTAAACTTAAACTATATAGGTAGGTACATTGTTATTCACTTAATTAGGGGACTCCTAAGGCTTAGGAAGAGCCACACTCAAGGGGCCAAAGAGCCTCATGTGGCTTGCGAGCCACAGTTTGCCAACCATGGAGCTATACCAACTACCCCAAGAACCGGAATATGTAGAAAACTATAACAGTAATATGCACTTTCTTCTTTGTCACCGAAAACTCATGTCTGTTAGCTCATTCGAATGCTGAGAGGTAAGGCAGGGCAGCTGTTAACAGCTGGAAAAAGAGGCACCCTGATGCGGTCAGACATGGGTTCTGCTCCCAGCTCCTGCCCTCCACAAGGTGTGTGACCCTGAGCAAACCACTTCTCTCAGCCTCAGTTTCCTCTTCTACAAGACGAGGGCCTTGTTCTCCAAAATGTCCCACATTCTGGGTGTTGGGGTACAGAAATGATTCTCCCCAACCTTCCGAGCCTCCCCGCCAAAGCTGGCAATCCCAGGTGCGCTTCGGGGCCCACGACCTCCCCTTCCTCCGGGGAGACCAGGTCTGTGCAAAGGAGGAGGTGGTGAGATTTCTCTCCCCTGGTCTCCTGCACCCGGAGACAAGAACCCAGGCCTGTACTTGAATGACTTCTTAATCAGAGCTTTTGTTTGTTTTTGAACTTGACAGAAACGTGCATGCCTTTCCAATGCCCATTGTTCCTCTCTACCGCCTGTCCCATCTCACCGCCTTGCAGCGGGCCAGATCTTAGTCACTAGCAACGGATTTTGTTAGTGATCTGCACCGCAGGCTGGATGGAGGTGGAGGGTGGTGAGGCGGGAGGAGCTGCCGGGCAGCTGAGGCCGGGCTCGCTGGAAAATCCAGAAGTGCAGATGTGGGTCCAAATTGAGCTGAAAATCTCATGAGATCAGGCTTTCTTGGACTTCCTGCTTTTGGCCTAAGCCGTGTGCTCAACATAAACGAACTTTCGGTATTTTGAAACTTCCGTTTCTGATCTCAGAACCTGGAAGTAAAGAGCTGTGGTGAACATTTCCACAGATTTGGTCGTGGCTGCTCCGGAGGCCGAGCGGAGCCCAGCGAGCATGAAGTGAGCGCTCGGGACAGCCTCGCAGCCCGCGGTGTCCGGGGACAGGGCTATGGCAGAGCCCGGGCTCGGGGACAGGCAGGCTGGCTTCAGATTCTAGCCCTGCCACTTCCGGCCGTGTGACTAACTCCTAGATCTGTTTCCTCATTAGTGCGATGAAGAAAATATGCCATTTCACAATGTTGTGAGGACAAAATGGTGTGTGGTGTGTGTGCTCATGCTCTACTTCTCCCCTCTTTACACATCCATGTGTGTATATGTGCATGCATGCACGTATGTGTGTCTACATATGCACACACGTACCTACATATCTCTGTACATAGATGCAAAATATGTGTGTTTGTGTGTGTGTATAATTTATTTATTTACACCTTGAATGAGTTCCCCTGGGCGTCTCAGGCAGCCAATTGCTGATAGAAAGAGCGTTTGGAAGTGGCTGAAACCCCCCCTAATTAGCTGCCCAGGGGTGCCTTACCCAAAGGCAGCAAGGGCTCTGACTACAGAAAGGATGAGCTTTGTGGGCCTGGAGCGATTCAGGCATCTCCAGTGATGAGGGAGTCAGACACGGGACTTCACAGGGGACAAGGGAAGTTCTTTAGGTTCATCACACCTGCGTCTGGTCCGGGGCCTCCTGGGTTCCCTGAAACAAGCTAGAATGATGCCAGGCAGGCAGGGGCTGCAGGAGCAAGGGGCACTGAATGAGCAGCGCTGTGTGGAGTGAGGCGGGGAGGGGCAGGCCCAGGAGGGCAGGCAGATCTAACCCCCCCCTCCCCGCCGGGTGCCAAGAGAACCCATTGCTCAGGAGCCAGCACTGCAGGCTGCCACTTCTTCCTTTCTCTGCATTTTGGCTTAACCTTTTCTTCACTCGTTCAATGGATTGTTTTTAAGCACGTTTTAAAGGATAACGATTCCCAAAGGAATGCATCGTCGTTGCATAAAATTGGGAAAATACAGAAAAATACAGAAGCACCCATAGCCTCTCAACCCAGAAAACAACCTATTCCTATTTGGGTGTATTTCCTCCCAGATTTTTTAATGCAAATATATGGATCTATGTGTCTTATTTTTCAATAACCAGAATCATGTTGTTTTGTAACCTCCTTTTATTCTCTTAATATTAAAACACGAATATTTTCCTGTATCACTACTTCTAATGGATGTGCAGTAAACTATTAAATGAGTGTTCAGTGTAGTCTACATCATCGTGTTTCTCTCCAACTTCTGGGCCTAGGATGGCATTCTGTAGTAGGGGTAGACAGAGCTCCTTTTTAGTTTAAAATAATAGTCTCTAGAGCAGTGGTTCTCAACTTTCTGGCCCTTTAAATACAGTTCCTCATGTTGTGACCCAACCATAAAATTATTTTCGTTGCTACTTCTTAACTGTGATGTTGCTACTGTTATGAATCGTCATGTAAATATCTGATATGCAGGATGGTCTTAGACTACCCCTGTGAAAGGGTCATTCGACCGCCAAAGGGATCGAGACCCACAGGTTGAGAACTGCTGCTCTAGAGAGACTTTAGAAATGAACCCACGTGACATGCTGAAAGGGGGGCCTTAAAGAAGTCACAGGGTCCCCCTCAAGTCATGAACCGGTGGCCCTGGGGAGGGGCCTGGCCTGAGCTCACCTCTCAGGCTGATCCCAATGGACGCTGAAACTGACCATACACCAACCCAGGGCCCGATTGGAAGCACGGGGTCCCTCCCCGCGCTGCACATCCTGCTGCCCCGAAGCCTGGTTTTGCATAGACTGTTTGGCTTACACATACGTGGAAAGCAACTGCTAATAATAGGAGAGTTGCCTCTTGTCTTCGGTGGTCGGGTCCCAGGGACTGTCCGGGACTCCCGCATCTGGTGCAGCTGCCTGCCGCTACCCTGCCCCTCGCGGCAGCAGGGCCAGCCAGGCTCCTGGGAGAAAGAGGCCAGGCCCTCCCTGCCTTGCCTTCTCTGTGTGTGGCGTGTGGAGGTGGGGAAGGTAGCTCTCTGAGGGCTCTTTGTCTCAGGAGGGAGTGGACCGCTTTGCAGAGGGAGTCCCTCTGGCCACCTCCCCAGCCCTGCCCCCTCCACCCAGCCAAACACTTTCTCCTCCTCCAGCCTGCAACCTCCTGGCAGCGTGGGTAGCATCTGTCCTTCCCCGCTGGGTGCTGACAAGTATGTGAGGGAGGGCGCTCTGTGAGCCCCTGGGGACCACCAGCTCTGTGGGCTCACCCTGCATGATGCCTACAGAGCTGGGGCTGGTAAACCGTTCTTTAATGCCTTGACTCACCTTGTGCCCTTAAGCATCCTTAAGCATTCATTCATTCCGCAAATATTATTTAGTGCCTCCTATGCCTGGCACTGGGCTGTGGTAGTGATGGGCTGGAGGGTAAAACAGACAAGAAATCTGCTCTTATGGAAGATACAGAGAATAAAAGAGAAGCAATCGAGTTGAAGAGCTATAGTGGAGCTCTCGGGGGAAACGCCTGCCGAGTTGGAAAACCCTCTGACACTCTGTCTTATATCTGACTTGGGGATCCTGGGCTAAGCCCGTCCCGGCCTCCCTTGAGCACGGCACAGGCTCCCAGCTCTCCCAGCTCCTGAGCCGCAGAGAGACCATCAGTTATGGGCAGGAGAGCATGCCTGGCTCGAGCACACAGCCCCACAGACCCTTGTGGTCAGGGAGCTACTAAAGGAGCTGGGACCATCGGGGGCTGGGATCTGTTTACTCCTGGCACACTGGGATTTCCTGTTTCTAAGAAAATGGGCTTCGATGCTCAGCTGCATTAACCAAACAACATGTGGACGCACATGAATCTGAAACTTGCCAGCTCCAGATTCTCTAGAAGGTCAGGTTTGGGAATGAAGGCATTTGAGTGACTGTCCAAACCCTGACCTCCAAGCCAGATGACTCAGGTATATATGGGGGGAACTTCGTTCCTACCCTCCCAGCCTAAAACCCCACTGGTTTAGGAGCCAGACTCCCTGGTCATCCCAGAGCAGGGAGAGGGTGAGGAACCTCTCCCCTTGTCCACAGTCGGCCTTAGATGTAGGGGTGGGAGGCTCTGAAAGATGCATCCCCCCAGAGTCCCATCACAATATCCCATCTGCCTGACATGGTCACCGTGATCTCATTTCTTTGCGCCTCCAGGAGGCTCATGTCAAAATGCACAAGTCACTCACTGACGTGACTTGAGTGGCTGCGTTTACTGTGTGAGCTTAGCTTGGCAAACCTGGCAGGTTTGGATGGGATGTAGCAAAAGAGAAGGCAGAGGACACAGAGGCTCGGCACAGAGAAGGGAGGGAGGGCCCCAACCGCAGCAGGACCACAGGAGGAGGATGCTCCCACGAGGGGCAGAACAGGCTGGAGATACCAATTTGGTGACAGTAGGCACCACACACCCCACCTGGCCTGCTGAGCGACAAGGCCTTGCATTGGGCCTTCGCGCTCTTATCCGTGGCCCCGGGGCCCAAGTGCTCAGTCAGTGGGATTTGCCTGCTCGGGCTCCAGGGA